AAAATTTTAAGATCTACTACAGTAAAAAAATACACTGCCATTAATCCCTCTCAACATACTCCCCCTTACTTCAAATACACTTATTGTTCTTGCTACTTTCTGTAACAATTCTGGAAGTGCTTGGTTGTGACTGTCTTTAGTTGTGCTGTCGTGGCTGCCTTAATGTACTGAATTAATTAAAAATGTTTACCATTCACAGTCATTTTGACTTTGAGAAAGCCAGAAGTTGCAAGATGACAGACCCAGGAATAAGGTGGATCAGCACACACTATAATGTCTTTTTTTATTTTGGTACTGGTGACTGAACTTGAGTCCTTATGCTTGCAAGGCAGGCAGTGGAGCTAAATTCCTGGCCCCTATAATGTCTTTAAGAGGCCATCTATCCACTGGATAGCACTTGGCAACAATTATTCACTACATTTTTATCATAGCTCATAAAGACACAGGACTTTCAGAATTGCTTCAGAAGACGGGCAAGAATGATGAGATTAGTGTATTTGAAACGGGGGGGTAGTTAGATGGGGATTAATGGCAATGTGTAGTTTTACTGTAAATTAAACATTTAGAAAACATTTACCATATATTTTGATCATGCCGTACACTACTTAAGGTTTAGGCTGGGGCTCACTTCTCTTCTTACTCCCTTCCTACACATGATGTTTTCAACAATTTAAGGCTGATGATCTTTAGGCTGCTGACTTGTAAATTTAATCCATTTTAAAAACACAGCTGTCTACATCACTCTTGTATTTAAAATCAGTGTATTCTTATTAGTATGTATGTATGCTTAAGGGTTTGTTTCTGTATTTATTTATTCGTGTGTGTGCGCGCGCATGTGTGTGCTCAGGTGCATGCAGGTGCGCACGCGGGGGCGGGGGCTGAACTCAGAATCTTGGGTTTGCAAGGCAGGTACTGGGTGTCACTGAGCTAAACCCTGGGCCCTTATTTTTGTTTTTTGCCTGTTTCATTAGAATGTAAGCTCCATATGGATAGAAGGCTATGCCTCTTGTCTTCACGTATGCATGCAATTCCAGCACAGTGGCTAGAAGACTGAGTAACTTCATTATTCTAGGCTCAGTGAGAATCCAGACATCAAAATATAAGTATAAAGACTGGGTCCATCCTTTTGATTAGGAGACCACAGACAACCCCAGGAAACCTTGAGAAACAATAAATTGTATAATTACTTGCCCCAGAAGAAAAGATGACCAGCTTTGTCTGCCCAAGATAGTTATTTGTGTGCTCTGAAGGCTTCCCCTGCTTTCCTCTCTGACATGGACTCCATCAATAATATTCTCTTCTCCCCAACCTTTCCCCTTTTTGTTGAGTCCTTCTAAACAAAAACAAAAACAAAAACACAAAACAAAGAAGGGGAGCCTTTAAACTTATCTCAGGCTACCTACAAAATCTACACTAGAGCATACTAACTCTCTCTAGTTGGTGGAATCCTCTCTATCTTACTAGATCAAAACATCCACAGCAAAATCCCAAAGGTACTACCAGTATTCTGTCTTGGATTCCTGATCTAACCCTCCCACAGCAATGTTTTTTTTGCCTGCTGAGTACCAAATATCATGTTTATCTCTGCAGCACTTCACACTAGTAACACAATACCCTCCCCGACAGTGTCTCATTTCTTGATTTTCATTACATCATTCTTACTCCTAATGATTCTTTTTCAGGTTTCCTTTTCTCTCTTCTTAAAAGTCTATACTCCACAGGGTTTCATCTTTGGTCCTTGTTTTTACTCATTCTGTAAACTCTCCAAGGTGGGTCTCCCTCTGTCCACAACCTCTCCTACCACCTTTTTGTTAATAATGCCCAAATCCTTATATCCAACCTAGGCCACTCACCCTAATTCTATTCATCTACATCCCAGTTCTCACTGGTCATTTTAATTTAATTGTTTCCACAGCATTTCAAATTCAAAAAGTTCAGAACTGAATTTATTTTGCTCCTTCCCCCAAATTCCCCTTTGTGTATCATGGGAACTAATTCCCACTCACTCAAATATCCAATCCTGAAATCTGAGAGAAAATCCAGGTGCCCCTCCTCCCTCACTTTTGAATTGTAGATACATTTAAAAGCTTAATATTCTCTCCATTTTTCTCTGATCACGTCTTTCATTTTATTCAAATAGTTACTACCCTAATTTGACCAGTCACCATTTTTCATCACACAGGCTTTTAACTAGTCTGTCTATACCCAGACTTGCTACCAGTCAAGTGTTTCCCTTGATTATAAAATAAAAGTATGGGCATTCTATGCTTTGGTATCCTGCTGTGACTCCCCATCTACAGCAGGATGATGACTGATCATTTGAGTGGTGCACAAAGCTCTTCATGACATGGCCTAAGCCCCTCACGCTTGTTGTCCTACTTGCACTCTGTGTTCCCATTTTACCAACCTAGTGGCACAACCCAGACCACTCATGGGGCATGCCTCTGTACACGTGCAGTGTACTTTTCCCTGGAAGACCCTATGACACTGCCTCCCAGTAAAACTCCAGCTTCTCAGGGATTCGCTGAAGTTCTTGGTCCTCTTGCTGCAAAGTCCTCAACACCCTAGAGGATAGCCTAGACCTACATTGCCTACAGCTTTCCACTTCCTCCTGTACATAATTCCAAGGATCACACTGTATGCTGTCAGTCCCTTTATGTCTGTTTTAACACAGAACATAAGCTACCTGAGGTCATGAATGATAGACATGTATCACTTATATGTCATGGTATGTGATATAAAACGTAACATGACTTGTCAGGATTCATCATGATAGTATATGACATAAGGGACACATGAATATTTAGGAGTGAGTAAACTTTGAGTTCTACTTCATACTGTGATGCTTTAAGTTTCTCCCAACACTCTGCAAAGGTTTATAACACTTTTGCACTGAGGTATAAATTGCTTTTCTCTGCCTGTGGAGCATTCAACTTTTCTGTTTGAGGAAAAATTTGTAGCAAAAAAACCCAGACTTGTAAGCAGACAGATGTGGATTCAAAGTTACTAGCACTAATTAACTGTATGTCTCTGGTCACACCATAACCTAATCTAAGTAAGCTTAGGTTTCTAATACCATGAATAATATTTCTAATACCTGGAATAATACCTTGAAGAGTAGCTTTGAGGATTAAATGAGATCACATCAAACACTGAGCAGACTTAATTAGAGTTAGTGCTCAATCTGAAAGCACACCACCTCCTCTGGAAGCATGTCTTATTTGTTCTTGTAAAAATAAGATACATTCTTCCTTGCTGCTCACCTACACTAACCTCTAATTCTGTTATGGCCTTTATGAAATTACCTCACAATTATGACTTTTTTGCTATTTGTATTCTCCCATAAATTATAAGCATCTGGCTACAGAGAATTTTGCTTTGTTCAGTGGGAAAGTTTCTCATTATATGACCATTCTCCATCCAAATTTCTTAGGTTAGAAGTTTGAAACAGCTGAACGAGAAAGCACACCTGAACTAATAAAATTATGCCACTAATAAAACTATAACTGAACATTCCTCCTATTTATGTCTTTAACACTGTTCAATCTCTAGCTGGTGAATCTCTGAAGAACCACTGAAGAATCCAATTCAAGTACAATGCACTTTGGTTACAGAACAAAACTGCAAATCTTGTAGATAAAAGGTGGCAGTAAGTGAATGAAAATTATGCTGTAAAATGCCCATACCAAAGTCTCTGACAACTGGAAAGCTGAAGGAACAAAACCAAAAAAAGATAATGACAAGGTAAGTATTTCAAAGAAATCACCTTCCATACTCAAACAATACCTTTTTCAATTGACCAGTTTTCAAGATATGTTTATCAGAACAAAACAAAACAAAAAAACCCTTCCTGAACGGTGATACAAACAGTTTCAAGGTGAACTGAAGACTTGCGTCTTGGTTTAACACAATCTTGGTGGAAAAGTTACATACACATATCAAAACAAATTTCATTTTTATTCTAAGACATGAGTCATAGCTACAGTTATATTATTTTGTAAAAGATATAAAACATTTACTGTCATAAGCTTTTAGGTCGATTTTCAAAATAAGAGCCCAAACAAACCTCTTCCACTCTTTCTGCGAAAACCTGATCTGTTTAAATGGTTCTACCATGAGTGGTCTTTCCTCAGGACTAATTATTCTGGGTCAGGGAGGTCTTCCATTGTCTTTGGTACCTGTACCAGACACTCAATAAATACCGGAAGTGCAGAGTAAGAAGTCAATGTAGGTATCTCATGCTGTTCTTTTGCCCCAATCTGACTTCCTGGGCTGTGAGTTCTGGAGGCCAAACCACATTCTAAACCCTACTGAAGGCTAAGAACCACTGAGGGTGAAAAGGCCTGTCACATAAATTTGTATTCTCAATGAACTCTGTTCCACAAAGGACTAATGATTATGTTTATAATTTTAGAACTCCGTGATTTATGTATAAAAACACTGTGCTCCTTGAGATGAGGTGAGGAAGTGGAGCTAGAAAGGAGTTTAAAAATATAACCCGATCTTACTACAAGTTGGGGGTACACATAAACAAATATGCTCAGTGAATTGACGGAGATTGTACATAGGCTGACTCTAATCTGACAGCTCGAAAAGAAACGTTTTGCTATATAAGCTTGAGAAACTAAGAGAGAACTATTATTACCCTACTTTCATCTGGCCTAGTGTCATGCTAAAATTACGGTTTTTCTTTCTTTCTTGTACCGATTGGAGGTCTACTTAGTTTGGTTCGAGCTTAGCTGTTTTGTTTTGTTTTGTTTTTTAAAGCCCCAACCACGTCAAGGGGCTCAGCCAGCAGTTCGGGAGCCGCCAGGAGTTGAGCTCAAGCGACTCTCCAATGGGAAGGCGCCCACTCTCCCACCTGCGGTTTCACCCTGGCCCAGGAGTCCTCCGTCCCCGCCAGGGGCGCGGCCGCTTCCTTCTTCTCCCCGCCCCCACCCCAGTACTCGCGCCTCCCCTAGGTCTGGCTCTCCAGAGGGGCGGGAGACGTGTAGCGATACCTGGAGGTTGGACCCAGTGGATGCCATGGCGGAAATCCGAGGCGGCTCCCTGGGGACGAACGAGGGGCGAGCAGAGCCAACAGCAGCGACGTCGAATCTCTCCCAGTGTGGCCGCCGCAAACCTCGGGAAACTGGTGTCTCTCAGACCTCAAGCGACAACCTCCTTAACGGAACTCGCGAAACAACACTGCACTCCACCAGCCGTAAGACCCTCCTCATAAAACTTCCGCAATTCCGAGCCCTTCTGGGCTCTGGTACCGCCTCTGGCGAAAGAACTTCCGTCTTCGTCATCAGCACGCGCGCTGCAGTCACCCAGTGTGCGTCTGGTCAAAGCTAAGGCCCTGGCAGGACCGAACTCAGGCTCGGCGCAGGCGCACCGCGGGCTACGGGCAGGTTGGGGAGCGGCGGCCGAGAAAATCAAGGGGACGTCAAGCACCGTCTTTCCCCTCTCCATTTCTTACACTTTGCAGCGAGTTATTGGATCTGGCCCCTGTTGCACCGCGTGGGCGTGGTTTGTCGTTCCGAGGCTTTTAAGAGGGGGAAAAAAATCATCTCTCAGACCCACCCGTTGGGAGCTTTGGACACACATTTCTGTTCTTCATTCCCCGTGTTCTCCTCTGTGAAACGAGGGCAATCATGATCACTTCCCGGGGTGGTGAAGCGTGGCAAGGTACTCGGCACAGTGGTGGGTGAGCAGTACGAGCTCAATCGTGTCCTTGTTTATCATTGGCCACACTTTACACTTGGGTGTACGACTGTGTTGGCTCTAGGACGCATTGGGAATAGGTAGTAATGTGAGTAAGGTATGAGTGACGGGGAAGCGGTCTCCTGAACTTGTAGAAGGCACCAGTTACATTTACAAGGAAAGTTAATGGCTTGAGAAGCTGAGCGGTGCTCCAGGTGAGATTGCCTACAATAGAAATTTCAAGATCAGCCTGAACATAGCACGCCCTCCCCCCAAAAAAAACCCAAAACAAAAAAACTGAACTGATGTAAAACCATCTTTAGCCACTCTATTACACAATGGCCTTTTGCTCGTGGTTAGCCATCTAAAAGGAAAGCAAAACATTTAATCCATCATTTTATTTACTACTCATTCCCCGAATTTTCCTGCTCATCCTGGGATCGCTAAAATACAGTAATTAAGTACAGTCTTCACTTCTTCCTCTTAATTGATATGGTGAGCTACCCATTCTTGAAATTTCCCTTGTACAGCTTCCTAATACTCCTTTTATATGTCTCTCAGTGTCTCTCGTTGCTCTCCTGAAAAATTTCCTTGAGTCTCGTATTTACTTCTCTGTCGTTACAATGTTTGTTTATCTTCCTGCGCTTCAGCTATCAGTGCACTAGAAATAGCTTCAAATCTAAATCTCTGGGCCAACCCCATCCTATGCCCACCATTTACTACTGACTCAGAAATCTTCATAGGGTTTTTCTGCAAATTCAACACATCCAAATTGTAATTATCTTCTACCCCAAACATCTTTCTCTGATTTCCCTTTCTTTAAATGGTATCAATAAATCAGAACCATCCAGGCTCAGACCCAAACCTCACTGCCTTGTCCTTCCTTCACACCTCTATTCTTCCACTAAAATGTTGACATTTGGCCCTTAACAAAGGCCAGTACATGACAGATACTTAATAATTCTATTTTTGCATTTTAGAAGCTTCACTTGTTTTATTTTGACTTTTATTAGTACATGTTTGCAGTACATTATAATTAGATTCACCGTAGGGGACTGGTATCTGTGCATAACACATTTCAGTTCTCTTCCTTTTCCTCCTCCACTCCCTTTTATTTTTCCAGCATCAGATTCATTTATTTATCTTACAAGCCCTTATAATATATACAGATTGAAAATGAGAGTAGTAGGCCAAAGAACATATAGAACATGTAAGACAATTTACTAAGTCAAGGTACACTTAGATACATTGCACTGAATTACGATGACTTTTTTCTTTCTCTTTTTTCCTATTATCTTTTATTTTATGCTTTATATATATATATATATATGTTGAGACTCATATAAGAAAAACAATGTATATTTTAGCTTTTGTGCCTGAGTTACTTCATTTAACATGGTTTCAAAGTGCATCCATTTTCCTATAAATGACTCAAGTTTATGCTACTTTATGACAGAATAGTGCTCCATGATATATAAACACCACATTTTCTCTGTCTATTCATCCGTTGATGGATGTATGGGCTGTGTCCAAAATGTAGCTAGCTATTATGAATTGCTCTGCCATAAATATGAGTATGCATACATCAGTGTGGTATGATGTTTTAACTCTTGGGAAGATACCTAGAAGGGGGACAGTTGAGCCAAATGGATTTTCTACTTTTAGTTTTTTGGGGGATCCACATACTGATTTCCATAGTGGTTGTATCAGTTTACAGTGCCCCCAACAATAGAGAAGGGTTCTTTTCTTCCCACAGCCTTGAAAGCATTTGTTATTGGTTGATTTCTTGATGGTAGCCATTCTTCCTGGAGTGAGATAGAATCTGTGTTGTTTTAATTTGCATTTCTCAAATAGCTAGTGATATTCAATATTTTTTCATGTATTTATTGGCTGTTTGTAATTCTTCATCTAAGAAATGTCTATTCATGTCAGAAACTAAGTCTTATGCTGTTTAACTGAGCTGCTTTCCTAATGACTATTGAATAAACCTGATTTTGCCCAAAAATACAACCTGACTCTAACACTTTGCTGGGGGAGGGGGTTGTGGGCATGGAACCAAGGGCCTCTTGCATTCTAAGCGTGAGCATACTCCCAGACCCTCAATACTTAAACAGTTACTGAAACTAAATACAAGAACTAGGCATCAGGAAAACTAGGCATCTGAAAATTATGAAGATGTATACAATAACGTCCTTGGAGTATAGGAGTTTAAAGTTTAGTGGAAGAGACTAGGTAAAAGAATTCATTGGGATTTATTGATTACCATTATGAGCCATCTATTTTAGATACTGAATATGAACCTTTCAGAAAAATCCCTTATTAGTAATAAGTCATAATGATATACCCATTGTGGGCAATGAAAAGGGCATTTCACCTCTGTAGTAGCCTTCTACCAAATCTATAACCTAGTATAAGCATAAGAAAACACCAGGAAAATCCACCTTGAGGAGTTTTTCTACTTCTATAAATACCTGATAACTTCAAAAAACTTCAAAAAAATACCTGACACTTCAAAAGTGTCAAGGTCATGAAAGACAAGGAACAATTGAGGAACAGGCATAGATTGGAGAAGACTAAAAGACATTAGCAGTTAAATGTAGCATGGGATTCTTGATTAGATCCTAGAGGAGAAAAGAAAAAGGACATTAGTTGAAACATAGATAAAAAGTGAGATCAAATTCTGTAATTTAGACAATGTATTACACCAATATAAATGTTTTTAGTTTTGATAAATGTACCATGGTTTTTTAGAATAGTAGCAGTAGGGGGAGTTGGGTAAAAGGCATATGAGAATTCTCTATATATACCCCTGCAATTCTTCTATAAGTACTGCTGTAAAATAAAATATTTTCTTTTTAAAATCCCCGTTCTTTCTCTGGGGCCTTATAGTCTAGTGGAATAGGAATCTTACCTTATAAGTTTAAAATGTAAATGTGAGCATGTTATGTATGTAACTGTTTACGAGGATGTCCTTGTACATTATCTACTCAATTTTGTGAGATAGATGCTAAGTGTCCCATTTTTACTGATGAGGAAGAAAGCCTCAGAGATATCAGGAATTCTCTAATCCATGCATCGCTTGAGTGGCAGAGCTGAAGTTTGCATCCAGGCCATCTCATTCCAAGTCCAATTTCAGAGGAAGCTTGTGTGAAGCAAGTGCTAGAGTAGTGTCAGGATGCACCCTGTGGCCACTGGGGAAAACACTTAATTCTGATTAAGTGGTTAGAAGTGTCTTAGGGAGGATGTCATTTTAAGGGAATTTCAAAATTTTAAGCAGCAGGAATAAAGGCACAGGTGAATAAAATATGTGGCATATTCCAGAAAGTCTGGGATGCAGAAAGCAGAGGTACTTTGGGGACAGAATGGCAGATGAACCTAGAAATACACCAGCCAACCCTGTCAGATGCTCAAGGCTTTGCATGTTAAGGAGTTTGGATTCTGTTCTGTTTAATTATGTAGCATTTGTTAAAACCTCTCTTCTCTTGCCCAACCTCTCTTTCCCTGCCTGTTGTTGTTGTTTTGAGACAGTCTGACTACAGTATATTGTTCAGGCTGGTCTTGAACTCACTATGTAGCCCATGTTGGCTTTGAATTCACAGTGATCCTCTTGCCTCAGCCTCCCAAGTGCTGGGGTTACATATGTGTATCACCATGCCCAGCTCTATGGTCCTTTCTTGGGAGAGTTGTGATTTAATGAGATACTGGATTTAGGAAAATGAATTTGACAGTGGTTTGTAGGACGCGTGAGGAAGACAAAGGAGGGAGGAGGATTGAGTAGGAGGTTCCTGCAATCAGTCTTGCATTTTAAGAAGCAAGATATGCAGAGCCAAGTGAGGTAGACCCCATTTCTGGAACACAGCTCCTACTTTCTTGACTCTTGGGCTTTGATTAAACATCGTCTGTCAATTGCTTTCACCAGTTCAGTCTGTTAAATAAAACCATACCTGTTTTTAAAATGCCAACTCCAGTATCACTTCCTCAAGAAACCTCTGAAACTTCTCTGAACTCTGCACTTTGGACCTTGACTTGCCTGTATATATGTGCTGAGTGCCTAACACAATGCCTGGACATTGTAGACATTAAAACATTCTTAGTCTCCTTGACATAGTGTTCTTTCTAGACTGCAAAATTCCTAAGGGCTAAGACTTCATCTTACTCATTTTTGTAACTCCTTTTGCTCTTATTCCCCACATGTTTGTACTTAAGTAGTCACAATTTATTGAACAGAATGAAGTTTCCCTGTTTGTGATCAAGGACCTTGGAAATGAGGGTAATCAGTGGGGCTCACAGGTGACATTTGGGAATTCAGCCTTCAAAGGGGCTCATATGCAGCCCATCTGGGACTGAATCCACCTCAGTCTAAGAGACAATTTAAAAAGAAATGCATAAATATTAAGGCCCTCACCATATTCTACAAGCCACCCATGTGCATCTAAAAATCAGGTCTCTGCTTGTTGAATTGCCAGTTCCTCCATGACCTGCAGCACTATCAGGAAGGCAAAGTGCTGTCAGGACTGATCCCATGAACGAGGTGACTCATTGGGCTGGAAACCTGTTTGGCCATCTCCAGTGACATACCTTTCTGAATGTGCTCATTCCCACTT